TTTCTGAACACGTGAATATGGATACGATGACGAAGACACACGCACACAGAAGCCTGGACGATCCGAAGCCCGACGGAAAAAACCCCCGACGTCGTGTGTCTTTCTGAACACGTGAATATGGATACGATGTGTGGACGGAATTCCTTCGGGTGGAAAGCTGCACGTCCCCGGCGCATAATGCCCGACTAGGAAGTACCTTGAGCGCTGGCAAGACGCTGCTGCTTAAAAATGGAGGGAGAGGGAGATAGAGGGGGGAGGGGGGAGGGAGAGGGAGAGGAGGGAGAGGGAGAGGGAGAGAGGAGAGGGAGAGAGAGGGAGAGGAGGGCCAGGGAGGGAGGGGAGGGAGGGAGGGGGGGAGGGAGAGGAGGAGGAGGGAGGGAGGGGAGGGAGGGAGGGAGGGAGGGAGGGAGGGAGGGAGGGAGGGAGAGAGGAGGGAGGGAGGGAGGAGAGAGAGAGAGAGAGAGAGAGAGAGAGAGAGAGAGAGAGAGAGAAGAGAGAGAGAGAGAGAGAGAGAGAGAGAGAGACAGACAGAGGGAGAGAGGAGGGAAGAGGGAGGGAGAAAGGAAGTGAAGGTGGGAGGGAGAAAGGGAGTGCGAGTGGAAGGCAGATAGGAGAGACAGAGAGGCGGGAGGGAGGGAGAAAATGGAAGGGGGCAGAACGAGAGAGCGTGTGAGAGACAGAGATCAAATGAAAACACAATCAAGTCAATGTTGCAAAAATGCCATTCTACTCACAACAATGGCCTCGGGATTAGCCCTTCTCCGGCAGAATAACGCCCACAAGACAGAACGAGATCCGCCAACAACGACGACGCAAACCTCCACCAAAATTCCAACACAACACCACGAAAACACCACGACGAGAGCGCCACAAGATCCCACGAAAACAGACGGAAAACACCACGGAATCCCATGAAAACACAGGGAAAGCGCCACCAAGATCCCACGAAAACAGACGGGAAAACACCACCAAGATCCCATGAAAACAGAGAAGAATCCCATGAAAACAGACGGGAAAACACCACCAAGATCCCATGAAAACAGACGGGAAAACACCATCGGAATCCACGAAAACAGACGGGAAAACACCACAAGATCCCATGAAAACAGACGGGAAAACACCTCGGAATCCCATGAAAACAGGGGAAACACCATCGGAATCCCACGACACCACCACCACGCAAGCACCACGGAAACACCAGGGAAGGAACACGACAGAGGCGAACACACCACGCACACCACACACACCGCACTCACGGCACCATTAACACAACTTCACATCACACACTCGTTGACAACCATACAGATTCATGCAGAGTGTGAGTGGATTGTGTGCATGGTTTCCGTTAGAGAATAGGCGAAAATGAGAGAGGGAGGGAAAGGGGAAGACTGAAGGATGGGAGGAGGGAAATAGCGAAGGAATGAGGAAAAGAGAAGAGTTTGAGTGGGAGTGGAAGGCGGAGAGGGAGGGAGAGGGAGAGTGAGTGAGTGAGTGAGAGCGAGAGAGAGAGAGAGAGAAGGAGGGAGGGAGGGAGGAGCGAGAGAGAGAGAGGGAGGAGGGAGGAGGGAGGGAGGGAGGAGGGAGGAGCGAGCGAGCGAGCGAGCGAGAGAGGAGGGAGGGAGGGAGGAGGGAGGGAGGAGAGAGAGAGAGAGAGAGAGAGAGAGAGAAGAGAAGAGAGAGAGAGAGAGAGAGAGAGAGAGAGAGAGAGAGAGAAAGAGAGAGAGAGAGAGAAAAGAAGAGAAGAGAAAGAGAGAGAGAGAGAAAGAGAGATGAGAAGAAAGAAAAGAAAGAAAGAGAGAGAGAGAGACTTACAAACACCGAAAGAAAGAAAGAGAGGAAGAGAGACAGAGAGACGAAACCAGAAAGAGGACGGGGCGGGAGGTCACAGCTGAGGAGAGGACGATAAGGTCACGGGTGTAGGGCGGCAAGGACAGCGCCAGGGCAGGATGAGGTCACACAAGTCCAGCAGGTGTTGGTTGCGTCGAAGGATGAGTAAGACGTGTTCCGTAACTGTTGCTAGCCGAGGGTGCGGGCGGGGGGCGGCCGAGGGCGGGGGGAGGAGGAGGGGGGTGGGAGGCGGAGGGGATGGGAGGGGAGGGAGGGGAGACGGGAGGAGGGAGGGGAGGGAAGGGGGGGGGATGGACGGGGAGGGAGGGAGGCGGGGAGAGACGAGGGAGGGAGGGGGATATGGGAGGGGAGGGAGGGAGGAGGAGAATGGGAGGAGGGGAGGGAGGGGGGGCGAGGGAGGGGAGGGGGAGATGGTGGAGAGGAGACGGAAGGGAAGGGAAGATGGGATGAGAGGAGAGGAGAGGGAGGGAGGGATGAGAGGAAAAAGAGATGGAGGGGAGGGAGTGTGAGAAGGGAGAATAGGGGAGGGAGGGGATGGGAGGGAAGGGAAGATGGGATGAGAGGGCTGGGAGGAAGGAAGAGAAGGAGCGAGGGAAGGAGAAGAGGAGACGGGAGGAAGGAGGGAGGTAGAGGGAAGGGTTGAGATGAGGTTGGAAAGAAATAGGGAGGGTTAAGGGGTGAAAGGGGAGGAGAAAGAAGTGAGCGCAGTCAAATGGCGGGGAAGGGAGGTACCAGGGTAGGTAGGATTGGAAAGAGGGGAGAGGGGTGAAGTTGGAACGAAGAAGGGAGAGGAGGGGGGAGGGAGTGGAGGTCAAATGGAGGGTAAGAGGAGGGTAAAATACTGAGGTTAGAGAGAAGGGAGAGGAGGAGATGAACGAGACGTGAGGGAGAGGAGTGGAGGTTACATTGGGGGAAGAGGCGGGTTAAATGTTGGGTGTTAGAGACGGGAGAGGTAGGGAGGAGAAGGAAGAGGAAGAAGAAGAAGAAGAAGAAGAAGAGGAGGAGGAAGGTGGAGGAGAAGGAGGTGAGACAGAAGGGAGAGATGGGGTGGTGTTCAGTAGAAGAGGGGGTGGGGGAGGGGGGAGGGAGGGATGAAGGGGAGGATAAGTGGTGAAAAGAGGAGCCGGAAAGGAGCGAAGAAGAGGCAAGTGGAA